GGGGCGGCGGGGCGCGGAGCCCCCCCCCGCCCAGCGCGGAGCGGAGCGGGCACCTCGGGGCCGGCTGGAACGGGGCGGCCTTTCTGGGGCTAACGGGTCTCGGGGAGGGGGGCGACTAGCCCGGTCCTGCGGCCCGAGGTGGCCCCGTAAGCCTCCCCATCACGAAGGCAGCGCCCGGCGCTGGGGCTGAGGCTGTAGCAAACTCCCTCGCAAGAGCTGTTTGTTGACCACATTCACGTTCAGAGCCCTGAAGCTAAAAGCACTTTACACCATAAAATAAAAGCACTGTCTTTTTTTCTAAAAGGTTACGTCTGGAGGCCACGCTGCTCATACTTCATACAGAAAACTACTGAAAGGGCTATGAAATCCTCTATGATTTACACTCCCTCTCAGTGCATTAGGATATAGATCTACTCGACTCTAAAAATACTGTGGAGTTTCTAACCGACGTGAATATATGTGCATTATTTCAGAAAGTCTGTTAGAAAACTTGTCAACACATTATAAAGCATAAACCAGGACTTGGCCATTAAATACAGAGATCAGAGACAGAATATATACTGCAGGAAGTACCGAGAAAAGTCCCTCCATTCAAAAAAGGTCTATTAGCTAAAAGTTTACACACAATATACACCAAAGGGTTTAGAGAGAGCCCGTGGACCGTAATTACAAGGCATAAATGGAATCAGTAAGGGCTTTACGGTCCCCAGCGCAGTTAACTGGGCTGCCAGAAAATAATTTTAATATTGTCATAATTTATTACCCACCGAAAGCCACATCAAGGATTGTAAATATAGTTACTTTGTGTCCACGACTGCTCGTTAAACAGCCTCGTTCCCTTCCCCTAAAAATACAATAAAATACAAACCCACCTGCATTATTAATCTGCGGTTATGCCGTGTTAAAAATGTCTTCTGACTCCTTTTCTTTCTTGAGGTTTGTTATCTCCCTCCAATCACATGACAATGCGAAGCGCTGGGGGGGGACACGACACGACGGGGGGGGGGGGGCACAGCACTATTGCAATCAAATGCCAATATTAATAATTGTCCAGCCAGGATGAAATATTGTTTTTAAGGCAGCGAGTTTCCATTTAATTCGAGGCATTTTACGGTGCTGGAATTAAGGGCATGCTAATGGTAGGAACATCCTCACTGCCATTCATGAAAGCATCTGTAAAATTAGCTCCTGACTGTAGGTTTTAAGATGCGGTCTGGGAAGTCACCTCTGGAATCTCAAACACGGTATGATAATAAAGCAGATTTAGTTGTAACTAAGTGCTTAATTTGCTATGATTTTTTAAAGAAAATCAATGAAACGCTGCCTGTTATTTATTGGGAATAACCACAGATAGGTATTCTGATGCAGGTTGGCTTCAGAGAGCGCGCAACTGCGTAATGAATTGTAATTCAGAGGACTGTTAACTGTGAACCACAGAACCTTTCAGGGGTAATAAAGTCATTACTTTTTACATTGTAGCCACCTTGAAAAGCTTTATGCGTGCTATTAGATATAAATCAAATCCCATATATGTATATCTCTCCGGTACACAGACACACACATGCCAGTTTATATACGTTTCGCACGGGAACGTATGGACGCCCGGGTACGGCAGCCAACCCCGAAAGGCGGCTTGAGCCCAGGAGCAGCTGGCTATTGTCACCCGCGGCGCGGTCCCCCCGGAAAATCACGCAGGACACGCATTTGCTTCCCCCCCCTCCCGCCCCAGCAGCCTCGGGGGACACCCCCAGGTGCGGAGGTGACCGGCACAGCCCGGCTCGCCCGTGCCTATGTGTGAAGGAGGGGAGCGGCGGGGCTGACCGGCGGCGGGAGGAGGCGGCGGGCGGAGCCGGGGGCG